GGGGGGGGGGGGGGGGGGCATATTTTGATAAGTGTGTTCACTTCTGTCAGTCCTACATTTCCAATTATGCATGTGGTCCTATATTTTCACCTCTCGACCTCATTTCCCATACCAGTACTTGCAAATTGCTGTTATTATTATTATTATTATTATTATGTACTTGTTCATGTAAGGGAGACCGGGGCTATACAGTAGTTGGACCCCGGGGTAAGTACGTACCCCCCCCCCCCCTGCCCCATCAATTTATGTCATAGTAACTATGGGGTGAAAGAATTGATCACATCATTTTGTAAAGTGACCGTATCCAATAGTGCTAAGAAAGTGTCGGCAGTGAGTCCAAATGAAATAATTTAACATCTTAAAGTAGCTTTATTAAAGAGACTTGATGGGGGGCCAACTTACCCCAGGGTCCAACCAGCCCGGCCTCCCCTACGTGAAGTGACACTCAGTGACACTGCAACTCACAACACAGTGTGTGTGTGTGTGTGTGTGTGTGTGTGTGTGTGTGTGTGTGTGCATGTGTGTATGGGGAGAGGGGCAGACAGTTGCTGAGGTGCAAGACAGGGCTTGTACACATGCTAGATCTTACTTGCCACCTCCTTTTCAAACGTGCAGTAAAGCAAGAGTGCCCTCTTTTTCAGGGCTGCACTGCTGTTTTTTTTTCAGGGTGACCAAACCACAGATTTGGGTGCTAAGAGGATTGTGAGTTAGATGCCATATTAGTATATAATTCATAATGGGATCCCCTGTGAAGAAAACTGTAGAACTCTTCTATGATGTGATATCACCCTATTCTTGGCTAGCCTTTGAAGTAAGTATGGATATTGACATGAAAAGTATCATGAAAAGAATTTCCCACCAAATAAAATTTTTACTAAAAAAAAATTCTCCTACTTTATGAATCATTGCTCTACAGGATATTTATGTGTAGCCAGCTAGTATCTATGTAGCCAGATAGCCTGGCTTTGAGACATTGTCAAGTATGGATAGCATACCTTTGATGATGTACAGTTTAAGTTGCCACTATTTCTATTTTAATTCATAAGGGGCCATAATATATTTACTTGTTTTTTTATTTATTTATTTTTTAACTTAATTTTTGTCTGCTCTTTCAGGTATTAACCAGGTACAAGACAAAATGGAATATGGACTTACAACTGAAACCTTTTTTTCTTGGTGGCATTATGCAAGGGGCAGGTAAGATATCAGTTGCACCTCGAGAGACCTCTATGACCTCTATGACTACATTCAGATCGAACAAGTTGATCTACGGACTAACAGATCCACAGACTAAATTTGGCCGATCCACTTCAAAGTAATACTGTTAATTCCCAGATGGTCTCCCTGCCTGCACACGCACCGTCCCTGCAGGGGTCTAACAATTAAAACTCAAGAGCCAGAATTTAATTTGTTCAATAGCGAATGTGGAGGCGGGGAGACTGTTAACTGTTGACAGAATCATTTAGTAATTCATTTTGCCAAGGAAAATCATGCCTCTCTGTCAAAATTGGAAAACATTTTTAAGAGAACTAGCATTGCCTGGTAATCATTATATGAATTACTTTTTATACTTTTGTGTACACAATCTCTTGGTAGGTTCATTGGATGCTGTCATTTATACAGTCTTTATTTTCAAACTCTTTTGGGTACAGTTTTATACTAAAAATGACTACCATGTTTCAGGTAATAGACCACCTGGTCTGGTGCCAAACAAGATGGCTTACATCTTTACTTTCAAACTCTTTTGGGTACAGTTTTATACTAAAAATGTCTACCATGTTTCAGGTAATAGACCACCTGGTCTGGTGCCAAACAAGATGGCTTACATGGACCAAGACTTGAAGAGATTAGGAGGATATTTTAGGGTACCTTTAAAAGCTCCATCGGTAGGCAAGAAAATTTTTAGTATATATTTGTTTGTCTGTTTGTTTGGTGGGGTGGGGTTTGGAAATGTAAAGCTTAAACATTGCACTCAGTAAAAAATTAAACTAAAACCAATAAAAGAAATATCCTTTCTGTGCAGGGGTTTAGCCAAGACCAAGAGTGGGTGGTGGGGGTCTTCTAATAATTTTAAATAGCTGTTCAACCAAAAGATAGACCATCCTCTGCTGTCTCTCTGGCTTAAACTTTGTTACTGTATGAAATTGCCCCTGTTTGTTTTACAGGATCCAGCAGATGTAATGTTCAACAAGGGATCACTGGCTGCCATGAGGTATGTCCTGTCCGTGGACTTGTTACAGAAGGAGAAGACAGAACCAATCAGTAGAGAGTTCTGGATGCGGGTCTGGAGTAGGGTAATTATTACCTGCTAAGGGTACAGATAGATTTTCACCTAGATATTCTATGGCAGAGGAAATTGTCATGAAATAACTTGGGTCATATCTATGAATATCTAGTGATAAATCAATATTTGTCTCTGGTAGAAGGTAGGAATTGTAGCTCTTAGACTAGCAAAATTTCTCTTGTGTATCTTTCAAAAACAAAAAAATGTGCTATATTCAATATAATGAGTAGAAATGAAGTCTATGGCCCTTTACACAAAGGGAAGTGCTCACAGTGACAAGTTATTTTTATATGGATTGTTTTATTCCAGGATGAAGACATTACAAAGCCTGAGAGTTTTCTACAGGTATGACAAGGTTTTTTTAAGATAACTTGCCTTTTTCTTTTTTAGTTCTTGAAAAAGCATTATGAAGTAATTGTGTGTGGCGTCCATGTGTGTACGTCCTTGCTAATATGTAATCGTTGATGGGTATTTTAAAATTAAGATGTATTTAAAAGATGATGTTGCATACCATTTTAGGCAGCTGCCAAAGCTCAACTTTCTGATGATGTTGCAAAAACTGCATTAGAAAAAATGACCACAGATGAAATTAAAAACAAGCTAAAGGCAAATACACAAGAAGCTCTCGACATGGGGGTAAGAATGTGGATCTCTTTCTCTCTCTCTCTCTCTGTCTGTCTGTCTGTCTGTCTGTCTGTCTCAAAACACACACACACACACACGTTCAACTATTTTAACCTAAAATGTATTTCTCCCATTACAGAAGAGTTATGAAACAAATACACACACACATTTCAATGAAAGTAATACTCAATTAAATTATTTTTACTTGCTTATCCCCATATTATGTCACGCCATATCTACATTTCTTTACTTGTGTCTCATAATTTGAATTTTCTACCTTTTTTTTTTTTTTTTTTTTTTTTTTTTTTTTTTTTTTTTGTGAAACCAGACTTTTGGAGCTCCCACCATCATATTGCACAAAGATGGAGAGAAACATCTTTTCTTTGGAGGGGATAGGTTTGAATTAATGGCACACATAATGGGTAAGCATATCTTTCTTTTCCTGTTATTCGCATTTATCTGTAAATACTTCTGGTATGCAATGTGAGGCTTTGGCTCCTTCCCCCCCCCCCCCAACCCCCACCCCCACCCCCACCCCCAGCCCCAACCCATCCCCATCCTAATCCTCATCAATTGTGGGCATGTAACACAGTAAACGCATGAAGGTTACAATTAGAAATTTAAAAGTGTTACATCAGTTTTCAAGTTTTGTCCTCCCTCTTAAAGCATACAATGCATGTTCCACCTTTAAAGGGCAAATAGACTTTTTTCTTGGAATATCTGCCGATTTTTTCTTTACCCCTATCCCTATCCAATTGATTCCAAAAGCAAATTGTGGTTTATAAACCTGGTTTTGAATTTATTAGTAGTCGTATGTATATCAAGATCACTTGGAAGATGCGTGCACCAGAAATCTGTGATGTTTTTAATGTAAATTTTTACATTTTAAATTGATGTAATTCATGTTACAATTTTCAACTGCTGCCTGATTTTTTTTTCTCATTTTAGGAGAAAAATGGGAAGGTCCTCTTCCAGAACTCAGTAAGATGTAAATTAAATTGTGAGGATTTGAAAAACGAAGAAGCCAGGAGCAGTGCCCTATGAGGGCAAAAGTGATTTTACAGTATAAATAAATGATTTTGTTGACACTTTAAAGTACTGTATTTTTAACATTGACTGTCTCTGTAAGAAAATTCATTATGCTGTAATTAATCACGATACGTTCCCAGTCACGATGTGTAATTTCATTGTAATATGCACAACACCATTTTACAGATGAAGATTTCTATTTTTATAATTTTATGATGAGTACATATGTTCAAGTTTTGATAGCATAAAAATAAACACTTCTTAACACCTTTTCAGCGTATTTCTATCTTTTATTATTCATCAATAACAATACATGTAAAAATGAATAAGAGATGCTGTGATAAAAAATAGAGCCTGGAGTTCTTCAGTGGTTGTTTACAAAATACTGGACTGACATCAAGTGTTTATTAAGTTGACCGATTCTTGTTTTCTATACACCAACGTAAGATTGGAAGAAATAAGTCAAAAACGGTTGCTAAGCAAACGGCTGTTCATAGTCGACTAATATGCCTGCACAGCCAGCAGCTTAGGCAGAGATTTAAAAATCCCCTTTCTATCTGTATATACCCTTATATCTTCATTGTATCTGTCTGTGACTTTGCCAATGTTTTCGCCGTCCAACACCGCCAGTCTCTACAACTAGTCGCAATAACCGCCAAACTTTTAGTTTCGATTTAAATTAACCGAGTGGTTTTGCTTGATTGAAAAAAAGCTGGTTTCTTTTTACAGGCGTTATTGATTGTGTTTGTGTGTGCGTTTTTCCTCCTATGATGTATTTCCATGATTTAATCTAAGTTCAAATTCTGTTGCATTGGAATATTAAATCATTTTAACATCGCTATGAAAATCTTATTTTGATGTTAATCTTAACAAATAAATATTCCTATAATTTTCTATTTATATTATATTAACCTATTTATATTATATATCCTTTTTGTTATTCAAATATCAAATACTGAATATCTCTCTGGGTAAATATGAATATTCTGCAGTGTGGTTATGTAGATAGCAAAAATGTAACCTATTGAAGTAAGGGCTAAAAAGCTAAAACAAGAGTTGCTTTGTTTAAATCACTAAAACAGAAAAATGTGGATTATCAAATAATATAAACGTGTAAATGCTATCATCTTACTGAAATCACAGCGATTTGAGTGTAAACGAAGCGTGTCTGACTTTGAGATTATGCACTTGTATAGAAAAAAAGGAAAGGATAAAGTAAAAAGAAAATGTTCCCAAAAAAATTAGAATGCTTCAATTCTGCTATAATTCTTTGAAAAACTATAACTGTGTAAAGAAATGATGCCTAAAGATGTATCCGTTAAAGAATGACTGCTACCATCACAGCGACTGCCATTTTCGTCACAACCAATGCCTTTGTCACAGAAAACTCTAAAGAAGATCCACCGGAAGTGGTTGGGGTTGGTGGCGCCATCTTGCAGTGGTCTTTGTTCGGTCCCACACACGCCGCGTACGCCATGACGTGTGCGATGTAACTCTGCTCATATACAAAATCAAAGAGGTGAGACATGGGGCCTTGCGCGTAAACTGGCACCTCCTCTCCTCCGTGAGTTTCTGAGGCTGTCAAAACTGCGCTTTGGTACACGTAGTTCCATGATGCTGAAAAATGTTAAATTTCTGTCATCAGTTTGTTTCTTTTACTTTCTCTTTTTCTTTCTTTATGATTTTAGATAATAAAATTATCGAATAACGAATCAAATCAAAGTAAAAATAGTCAATTGCAAAATAAACTTGTTTGTATTACGTGCTTGATAGAAGATAGATTAAATAAATACAAACCTCTTATGAGATCATTCACTACATTTTGTACACTACCCCATCACCTTCCATTGAAAAAAAAATCTACGATTAACCCTACATTTTAACCGTTAATATAAGGTGATAAATAACAATCCTGTACTTACATGTATTGACGGTGGTCGGGTCCTCGCGTGGAGCCGTGTACCCAGGGCCGTTCCCGTACGATAGCACAGTGTAGGGAACGCCGTTCTTGTCGCTCTCTGCATCATTAACACCTGGAAATGTTGGTAACATTGCTTTCAGTGACAGATTATATATAGCCTGTATACAACTTTTTTGTAAGGAAAAAATACAGAAAAAGAAAGAAAAAATCCTGAAGATCTCAATTTTTAGGTACTTAGTTTCTTCTATTCGAAACTGTTTTTGTCGTTCGGTCGCTTAAAATCTATGGCACACACATTGTTATAGGTACGGTATGCAACCGTCCACAGAAAACAAGTTGACAAGCATGGTAATAACTGTAGAAAAACGACCGCCTCATGGCAGACCGGTACCCTGAGTTGAGCCCTAAATGACCATCTATCTAGCTAGAGACATATCTGTGAATATCTGTAAAAAATCTATCACTCGCCCTGGTAGAGGGTAGCAGAGCGGTAAATGTTGCACAGAAATTGAGCCTCGTTTCAAACTTGCCTGGCGGATGATTCTACCAATTACACCTTACTGGATACAACACTGTAAGTCGAAAAGAACAATGTCCCTTAATCAAGTCGCACATTTCTGATAATAACATGTCAATTACCCAAAATAGGGATCCCCCGTCCGGCATATCCGCCGATGTTGAAAACGTGAGAATGGTCTGCAGTGACCACGGTCAACGTGTCGTTGGCGCTCGTGAGTTCCGCCGCCTTTTTTACCGCCGCCTCCATGGCGATGGTGTCTGTGACCGCATGGCGAGCTAACGACGCATGGTGGCCGTGGTCTATTCTTCCACCTAGACGAGAATTAAAAAGTTGAAAAACTGAAGAAGGGCTACTGAGGTCAAAGTGTTGTGACCTCCGTTCCGAAACATAAGATCCAGTATGGAAGTATATTTCATTTCAATGTCAAAGCAAAATAAATAGCATAGCCTACAGTGCAATGTGGTATATATACAACATTTTTTATATACTCATTTTAAGCAAAACTCTAGATCCGCCTTAAATTACACACAATGGACAATAGAAGTGTCACCCCTACTGAGCCAATACTTTGGGGGAGATAAATGACTGTGGAATGATATGCTCCTGGTATCATTTTATTAACATCAAATTCCAAAAAATAAAAAAATGTAGACCAGGCGTTATAACTACTCAAGATCTGCCTACTTTGATTATTGATTACTTGATTATTATTTGATTACTCTGATTCATTGGGTGACACTTCTATTGTCCATTGTGTGTATAATTGCAGTTGCAACGAAGGGACTATTATGATCCCAGGGCGAATGTTGAGTATAAAAAAGGTGTATCCATTCCAAAACGCACTAAAATGTATTAAGAGTCCGTGTAGGAACTCCACAGAATTCAAAATTTAATTGTAAATATAAGCCTTGTTTCTCACCCTCGACAAGGAGAACAAATCCCTTGGCATTTTTCTTCAGTATTTTGATGGCTTTTTCGGTCATTTCTGCCAAGGACGGCTCCATGTCATGGTTCCTTTCACCTTCATACTGCATGTGACTCGGCTCAAATAGTCCTAGAAAGGGGGAAAGAAAAGTAGATTTTCAACATTACAATTGTGTGTGACGTGTGTTGGAATACCGCATGGTGGTTGACTGTGAGGTTAAATTTACTTTCACTCTGTACTGAAATTTAAGAGTGGTGCAAGGGCAGTGCGTGCCTGCATGAGAGAGAGAGAGAGAGAGAGAGAGAGAGAGAGAGAGAGAGAAATAAAGGGAGGAAGAGAGACAGAAAGAGAGAGAGAGAAATAAAGAGAGAGAGAAAGAGAGAGATGAGATACCCATTAAGAAGTCGACATCTGCGGGCTCTACGCTGTTGAACCCAGTGCTGTTCCAGACATATTCGGCTCTCATATTCATGTCAGCTTTAGCTTGGAGCCATTGCTGAAGAAAACACACGTATATTTTATCAACGTTGTGCATTTATTGTAAAAGGGTTACTTTGAAAGTGGCCATCAGCTGTCCCTACTGTACTTTTTAGTATTTCGTCGGCAAGAACGGGGGCGAAGGGGGTGTCCGCCGTAATGAATGTTATATAGACACACCTGAGTAACGTGACAGAGAGTCCCCCATGAGAGTCCGCTTCCCATGCATTTGTACAGATAAGCCTGGCCCTAGATTTTGACCCACTTAGGTCAGGCTAACCCTAACCATTATAACTAAATGGAGGGCGGACTTTCTTTTACACTGACCCCCAGTTTCGTTACAGAGGTCCGAAGGGAACGGCTGTCCACCTAGTGAGTGGTTATATAGGCACACCGGAACCTTTCACCTGTGAGACTAGATTTCTCTTGTTTTTCATTTACGACAGCAAGCAATGTTAATGGGTTCCAGAATTTAGTATAGCGCCCTTCTACCGCGATTTCACGTTTTACAACTGCTCTTCATTTTTACAATTCTGGACTTATTCTGTTTAATCAAATAGATAGATATCTGCCTCTTTGGTTTAATAATATAAAAGGGAACAAATTTTTCACAATACTTACATTGATCAGATTTCTGTCCGTTCTCTTTCCTTTCACATTTGGGTATTCTGGATCGCTTTCGTTTCTGTGATAAAACTGCCGTCTACCTCCTCCTAAAATAACCTGAAACAAAGTTCACTTCAAACGTATAACAGAGACCTTCGTATCTCTTTCGTTCATCTTTCGTAATTGAAATTGAAATCTGGAATAATATCTGTCAATTCTCCACGAGAAAATACACTATTGGACAAAGGCCCGATTCACAGATTCTGTCCGCACATACAATAATACATGCATATGCATTACTATGTACAATAGCAGCTAATAAATTTATATAAACAATGAGATGCCTAATAAGATTGTATGTAAGCATACTGTACTCAGTTTACGTACATACATACATACATACTATAAAGGAAGATTATATTTTGAAAATGATGAAAAAATTGTTAGGTTGGTAAATAAATACAATTGCAAGAGGATGAAACATCAAAGAACCACCAAACGCCACATTTTATTCTCTAAGCTCAAATGATTTTGTTAAAATGTAGCAATTTTAACGCATCCCTGTCGGTAGTACGTAGGTTTCATATTGCATCTCTTTAGCAATTGTAGGGAATCATTTTAGTGAAGGTAGACGGGAGTCTCTCTCCATTATGCAGGCGTGGTATTGCATCACAAATGAGCTTAGTCCTAAACATAACTTTGTTGACAAGATCAACATGATTTGTTTGTTCTTTTGGACGTCGGTCAAGTATAATATGAGGCTAGGGTTGTTTGCATTTAGACCAAGTTTTGCCGATGCACAGTGGTTATTAATGGCGGTCACTGCGTCTGTGTTCTAGTAACTTCTACTGGGAGTTAAGAGAACGGTAAAAGTTCAATTAACGAATTTAAGGAAAAACTTAATTTACACTCATCCAAAATCCCGTCATTGGGAATTTTGGGTGAAGACGGTTTTTTGTTTGTTTGTTTGTTTGTTTGTTTGTTTGTTCGTTTTTGTTTATTAAAAAAAATTATCAATTTTCTTTTGACTGAATTAACTATATTGTCTCTCTCTTTACTTAATTCCAGTTTATTGGGTTTAATTTATTTATATCCTTTCTCAGAGCTGGTTGCGGTGTCCATATTTAGGGTAGGGCTATATAATCCTCCGTTATTGCATTCAGATACGATAACCATGCCAAGTTGTGAGTGCTGTCCAACACTTTTCAAAACATCATAAAACCTTCCTTGTTTAAACTGCGCCTCCAACTTACTTTGATAAAACTTCCATCTCCTTCGATCATTTGTTTTGCTATGTCGGTGCACGTGCCGCGCGCGTCAGCAGGAAGATCTGCGTCTGCTTCCCAGTATCTGCTAGCAGAATGGGCGAACCCCGAAGCGGGGGTGGCGTGCGTTATGCGAGTCGTGGTGATGATACCGGTGGACTTGCCTGTAAAAATATTCCATTTATTTTTTTTTTAACAAACATATGTACTGTTTAATAAACAAGTGTTGAATCAGTATTATTACATAGGCAAAAAAAATCTAAAATTTACTAAAATTTAGAAAAGGCAGGTACGCAAGCGAAGTCGGTTGTCAGTATAAATCTGTCACTAGAAGCACATGCTCCAGACATAAAAGTAAGGGCTCATTCCCAATGAAAACATCGTTCTACGTAGATCGATCCAACTCCGTGGGGACTCCCGCTGAATGCATTCAGGTTAATAGTTTAACAGGCCTCCTATTGTTACCAACGCACTCGTATAACGACCGGTTTTTCTGAATTGCACTCAAAGGCAAGAGGAGGGATGTTTAAACAGATTAAAATCTGTTAAGCTGATTGCATTCAACGAGAGTCCCCGCAGAGTTGGATGAATCTACGTAGAACGATAGTTTCATTGAGAATGATCAATAAACATCACCTTCAGCGTTTGCCCATTTCAGTATGGAATCTACCGAGGCGCCCTCTTCTGAGGTGCAGTTACCAAACGAGGTGCGGTCGTCCACACCAATCAGCCCAAATTTGGTCTTGACGCCACACAAGATGGCCGTGGCTGTTCCTGCAGAATCGCTGACCATCCGGTCCGTGTTATACGTCTAGAAATAACGATTCCATGTTATGTATGCATGCAACAGCTGTTTAACATTTATAGTTTTTGACTCTACATGTACTAATACATTTTCATAGTTGGAGTTGATTACCCCATGATGACTTTCAATTTGTTTGAGAATAATTACGTTTGAGTACATACAAGAAAAAGAGAAAATTTCTTTGTGGGAACCCTTTCATCCGACGTCACGTGAGAAAGGAAAACGAGCGAGAATCCGCGTGAGGTGGGGCTAGCATCTCAGCAATAACAATAAAACTCTATGCGCCGGGAAGGTCGTCTTGGGAAGAAATACCCGAAAAACATAGTGATTTCCTACAAGAGACTGAGATTTGACAGAGCTTAAGATGAAATAACCATAAAAACTTAAACTGACTGCCCTCCGCGAGAGTCCTGCAGAGTTGGATCGGTCTACGTAGACTGATGGACGCTATGGGAATGGGGCCTTAGGAACCATTCAGAATAGGAGACTAATTAGTCCGAGGGTCAAATTTGGCGACCCATTACAAAGCTTGCCGTCTAATCCGCTGACAGACACTGAAGAAATATCCATCGATATCTTTTCAAGTGGGTTGGCCATATTTGACCTTCGGACTAGTCAGTCCCGTATTCTGAATGAAGCCTATGTCACCTACATACCTTAGACAACCCGACATACGGGAAATTCTCGAAAAACAGACTCCCCTCTTCCCCTGTTTTGCCTTGTAACTGTCCCTTGTGGATCCGAGCCGCTGTCACTGTTGACACTCCCAGCCCGTCTCCTATAAATATGATGACGTTCTTGGCGACGTTAGTGTTCGGTTTGGTGTTCAGTTTCTCTCTGAGTTTTCTCTGGCCGAGATCCATCCAGTAGTCCTTGAGTTGCTGAGGCCCTGTGTATGACATGAAAGTAGTGAGATTAAGAGAAATAGATATGTAGAATGTATTTTAATTTGTAGAATGTGTAAATAAGGTAGGGGCCTATTTTTAAAAGATGCTTAAAACATGCAGTTATCGCACATAAGCTTGGTGTTTATGGCGACATTTGTGTTTGGTTTGATTTTCCAATTACACTTCACCGTCTTCTCGACCAGCTTCACAAAACAATTAAACGTTATTTATCAGTTTATCTGATTGCACTCAGCGAGAGTCCCCGCGAAGTTGGATCGATCTACGTAGAACGATCATTTCATTGGGAATGAGCCCTAGGTTCAAACCATCCCCCGGGGCAAAGAGTTTGTGTTGGAAAAATGATTATTTCTTTTCACAGCGGCGTGTATATCTGTCTAAGTTATGCGAGGTAGGGCATCATCCATACTTCTTGACATACGTGAATGAGAGCCGGGAAAAGGGTGATTTATATGAAAATTATACGGTTAAACTAATGTATAACTATATGTTACGTCCCATTCCCATTAATGGGACCGATATTGTGTCTATGAGAATGGGTCCTGGGGTACAAGAATTACAGATTCAAAGATAGGAATAGCGCTGTCATGTATTATCATAATAATAACTCAACGTCATGTGTCTGTATATACGTTTATGTAATAAATGATCATATGCCTGCTCGTGTATGAATAATGCCCGTTGGGACGAATGGTGTCTATGGGAATGGGGTCTTAGTGAACCTAAGGATTGCGAGTTCATGTTTTTTTGCATATCATGCGTGAAAAGAAAGTTTCATATTACACGCCGTTATACAAAGTATGCGTATACTAATACCACTCCTCGGCCTTACCTGAATACCAGTATAAGATGCGTATAAATAAAAAGAGTAATTTATGCAATTTTTACTTGATGACGACTGTAAAGTAACTCGTTTATTTGGAGGGGGTGGTCACACACTTTGTCTTGGTTAAACTTTTGGATAGCTAACTACGTTTTGAATATTTGATATTAATGAAATCCGATAAGTTTTGTCTGATTAAAAAAAAAGGCACGGCGAATGCCAAAGTCCGAAGATAGATCTGCCTAAGTTATTACAACCCAAACTAGTCTGACTTCGATATGCTCGTAACCATTGAACTTAACGTATCTCAACTTGTCGTGATTACAATGGCGAGGGGGGATAACAGGGTGATTAGAATGGCCCCTGTTATGAGCTAGTCGTATTTGACAGCTGCTCACATCGCCCCTTCTACATTGGACACTGGCTTCTAATAGCATGTTTTCTCTTGTTTTCGTAACGTTGCGTGAGTAAGCCCATTTCAAACTTGGGTGCAGTTTGCCCTCCCAGCGTCGGCTGATGATAAGTTAAATGTGCCATCTAGATAAACATAGGGAATACGGAACTAATTTGTTCAAGTGTGCTTTCCTAAAACACAAGTCAAGCTGATTGCAAAAATTCCAAAATCCTGGTTACGAGGTCGATTGAATGCAGCTTGCATCGTGATTGAAATACAAATCGGCGAGCTACAAACACTGTATATTTATTTATGACTTACACTATTTACTCGAAAATTGTAAATATAACTCCCGTACCACAGAATTCATTGATAAACGGAAGTACCACTCGGAGCTTCAGGGTTTGCTTAAACTCCAATCCCTCAACAGCTGCATAACCATGCCAACTGGTGGCTTGATAAGG